GCCATGGACTGCCAAAAGAACCAATAGATCTGTTTTGGAAGAAGTACAACCAGAGTGCTCCTTGGAGGCCAAGATGGCTAAGCTTCGTCTCTCATACTTTGGACACATTGTCCGGAGAGAAAAGTCGCTGGAGAGGGATGTTATGCTGGGTAAGGTGGAGGGTCAGAGAAAAAGAGGAAGACCCCCAATGAGATGGATGAGCCAGGTGGCATCATTGATGGCATCAAGGTGGCATCATTGATGGCAGCGTTAGTGAGGTTGGCCCAGGATCGGACATTGTTTCGTTCTGCTGTGCATGGGGTCGCTATGAGTCGGTTCCGACTTGATGGCGCCTGACAACAACAATGTACATCAAAAGATTTTTCCAAAGGAGTTAAAAGGTAGCCCAAAGACTAGGGGGAAATTTTTGCAATGACATATCAGACAAGTGACTAATATAAAAAATTTAGAGAAAAATCCACCTCTATAAGAAAAAAGGCAAACAATCCAATTTAAAAATGGGCACAGGACATGAACAGACACTTTACCCAAAAAGGCATTCAGGCAGCCAACAAACATGAAAAAATGTTCATAATCATTAACCATTGTTGTTGTCGTTATGTGCCGTGGAGTCAGTTCCGACTCATAGCAACCCTTTACAGCATTTCCAAGGCTGTCAATCTTTACGGGAGCAGAAAGCCTCATCTTTCTTCCATGGAACAGCTGGTAGTTTCAAACTGCTGACCCTGAGGTTAGCAACCCAATTCATAACCACTACGCTACCAGAGCTCCTTCATTAACCATTGTTGTTGTTGTTGTTAAGTGCTGTCGAGTCGATTCTGACCCATAGCGACCCTGTATAGGGTTTCCAAGGAGCAGCTGGTGAGCTTGAACCACTGACCTTGCAGTTCAAATGGCTTTACAGTCTGGCACATTAACCCACAGCACCATACCAGGACTCATCATTACCCATTAGAGAGATGCAAATCAAAACAACGATGAGATATCATCTCACACCAACATTAGTGAATTTAAAAAAATTAAGAAAATAGCAAATGGTGGCAAGGGTGTAGAGAGACTAGGACCCTCCTACATTGCTGGTGGGACTGTAAAATGGGTCAAACACTCTGGAAAACGGTATGGCGATTCCTCAGAAACTTGGAAATAGAAATACCTTACTCTCTACTTGGTATATATCCACGAGAAATATGAGCCAGGACACAAGTAGATATATGCATACTGATGTTCACTGCAGCACTACTCACAATAGCAAAAAGATGGAGCTAGCCTAAGCGTCCAACAATGGAAGAATGAATAAACAAACTTTGGTACATACACACAATGTTGAAGAATAACGATAAATCTGCAAAACACCTCTCATAACCTGGATGAACCTGGAGGATGTTATCCTGAGTGAAATTAGTTCATCACAAAAGGGCAAATGTTGTATGAGAACATTATTGTAAAAGCTTAAGAAAAGGTTTCTAGACTAAAAAGCAACATACTTTAATGTTTATCAGAGGCGGGAGGGAGGGAAAAGTAATTCACTGACTAGAGGCTAGACACATGTTAGCTGGAGTGACAGGAAGGGCAATACACAAAAAGAGGGAGGGTGGCAGAAGAATGATGAAGGTATGTGAAGACACAGTGATGAATGCATGGGCTAAAAGGGACAGATGTAAACAGTAATATATACACAACTGCAGAACAATAGCATTCTGTGCATAAATATACAGATTGAAACATACATTGAATGGGTATGAGAGGAAGAGTAGGATATATATATACATACTTCTATATCCCACAAATATATGAGTGTAAAATAGTAAAAAGAAACATTCTTTGATGGTTGCCAGGGGTCGGAAGGAAGGGACTGGGTTGTATGGGAGGAAGAGTGGAATATATGTGTGTGTATGTATGTATATATCTATATATCCCACAGATATACATAAGTATTTTGCTTTCTGGCAAACACACTGTGAATGTGGTGGAGCATACAGCAGGCAAAATAATGAAAACTTCTGAGATATTATCAAATATCTTAAGGCAATAAGTAGCTGAGCCTGGGGGCTCAGGACCATCATCCCAGGGGACACCATGGTCAATTGGTATAACAGTCCACAAAGACAATGTTCTACATCCTAGTTTCATGAGTAGCATCTGGGATCTTAAAAGCTTATGAGAAGCTGTCTAAGGTGCACCTATTGGTCTCTTTATGTGCAGAAGAATGAATGATGAGAATTGAAAAGGTCTGAAATCAGTCTCCACGACTGAAACCAGAAGAACTAGATGGTTCCCCACTACCACTACCACTACCAACTGCTCTGAAAGGGATCACATTAGAAGGTGAACATGAGGAACAAAACTCAAAATTATTTTTTAAAAAAAGACCAGTCTTACTGGTCAAAGAGAATGCATGAAGTCTAGAAAAGAACTCACCTTCATAGCCCAACTTTCAGCCAATCAGTAGATAGGTGTATAGGGAGACAACAACACTAATAAGCTATGCTCACTATGAATGATGGAATGGTCAATTATTCAAAATCAAAGGGGCAACATGTGCCTAAGGACAAATTAAGAAGGGATAGGAAGGTGGGTGGAATGGAAATAAAAGCCACAGGAAGAAGCAGGATAACTGTTGGTTCTTAGAGGGAACTGCAATCATTGAGACAAAAGAAAGTGTATTCTATTTGTTAAATGTAAAACCGATGATCTTGCCTGTAAACCTTCACTCAATTCACAATAAAAAGGTTTTTTAAAAGATGTATTGATAATTACTGGTGATTGGGATTCAAAGGTTGGAAACAAAGGTTGGAACAGATGACCTTCCAACAGTGTTGCAGCTTCTTCACCTTCGCCAGATCTTCAATGGCACCTTTGTTAAGCTCAACAAGGCTTCAGTGAACATGGTGAGCATTGTGGAGCCACATATTGCATGGAGGTACCCAAACCTGAAGGCAGTGAATAAATTGATCTACAAGCATGGCTACAGCAAAATTAGTAAGAAGTGAACGGCCCTGACAGATAACACATTGATTGCAAGATCTCTTGGTAAATACGGCATCATCGCATGGAGGATCTGATTCATGAGATTTACACTGTTGGAAAACATTTCAAAGAAACAGATAGCTTCCTGTGGCTTTTCAAATTATCTTCAACATGAGGTGGGATGAAGAATAAGACCACCCATTTTGCAGAAGGTAGAGATGCTAACAACAAGGAAGACCAGATCAATAGGCTTATTAGAAGAATGAACTGAGGTGTCTACTATTATTATTTTTGTAATCTGGTCAGTTAATAAAACAATATTGGTTTTCAAATTGTAAAAAAAAAGTGATAATGACACTTAGAAGCCAAGGGGTCAGTGTCCACCTGTAGCTGGAATATGGTGTCTCCACAGACTCGATCATGCTGGTGCTTCAGCCACACAGTGCCCGAGGCCTGGTGCTTGGGGTCTTCTGGACCACGACTCAGGAAGGTTATCCGAGGAACCTGACCCCGCAGCCGCCGGTCTGTGTCTCCATCTATCATGTAATCCAGGGCTGTAGTGTGTGGGGAGAAGAGGGGAACCAGTGAAGCTGAGGAAATGCTCTAGTCTGACCTTGTTCCCATGATGCCCTTCTCCCAGAAACCCCACAGGATGGGAGATGCTCACTCACCCACAATAGGGCTGTAGCTGCTGGGGGCTGCAATGTAGCTGAAACATATTCTTAGGTCCACACTGTGGGATCAAAAGGTGGCCCCTGAACCAGGCAAGGCTGGTAGGTCAAGACCCCAAACCTCTACTTCTCACCCCTGCCACAGCCCAACCCCAAACTGGAGAAAGTAGCAGAGAATGGGAGGAACAGGCCCTGGAGGCCACCCCTGCCCTTGCCTCAGACCCCATCTCACCAGACTGAGAGGCCACCAGGACAGTTGGGCTGCTCTAGGTCGATGGTTGGAGGAACAATGAAGAGTTCATGGGAGACATGAAGAATGGGTCTGGCCCTGGAGGATTGGAGAATGACAATCACGGGACACATTAGAACAAGAAGCAGGGAAAGCAATATCAGATTCAGCACTGGAGTGGAGATTAGTCACAGAGAGGGTATAACAGTATCAGGGAGGGAGCAGGCCGAGGAAGGGGAGGGGATCACCTAAAGAGGGCAGCAGTGTCAGTCAGGGAGCCCACCAGCAGGTCTGGATAATGATTCCCATCCACATCCAGACCACCAGACAGGGAGTAGCCGAAGCTCTTGATGCCCACGGCCTCACCTTCCAACACCTAGAAGACCAGACTGTCAACCTTCTCTAACCCTATCACCCCCTGTCCTCTGCCTTATTGCTGCTATGCCCCCCTATCCCACCAATAAAGGTTCCCTCATCCCAACCACACCCCGCTCACCTGTGAAGGTTTAAGGACAACCCCCAGACTGCTCCCATGATAGATAAAGACTTTCCCATCTCCATCAAATGGAGCACCCACAGCAATATCTGTGGTGTATAAGAAAAATGCAATCAGTCTGGAAATAGGGGTGACAAGAACCCCAACTTTTCCTAGGTCCTATATATTTTCAATTTTATTAAGAAGTTATGAATAAGAATTGACTCAAGGGCACACAAGTACCTTACTTTTTTTTTTTTTAATGTTTTTAAACCAATTCCAACTCAAGGTGAACCCATGTGTTACAGAGTAGAAATTCTCCATAGAATTTTGTTGGTTGTAGTAGCTTAGTGGTTACGAATTGGGCTGTGAACCTTAAGGTCAGCAGTTCGAAACTACCAGCTGTTCCTCGGGAGAAAAATGAGGCTTTCTGCTCCCATAAAGATTTACAGCCTTGGAAACTCTGTACAGGATCGCTATGAGTCAGAACTGACTCCACAGCACATAACAACAACAATATTTACAGAAGCAGATTGTCAGATATTTCTCCACAGTGCCACTGAGTGGATTTAAACACACAACCTTTAAAACAGCAGCAGAGCACAAACTGCGTAACACATACTTCATCTTTAATTCTTTCATCCACTGTCTCTGGACATTACTAGCTCAGAAAGGTTAAGTAACTTTTCTAAGGTCACACAGCTGGTAAAGCTCGGATGCGAATCTAGGCTTCTCTCCCTGAGACCTCAGGAGAATGTTCCCTGGCCTCTGAGTCACTCTCTCATCTACCCTGCCTTGCCCTCCCCCACCTTCTCCCCACACTAAGCATTTCCAGTTTTCAGTCATACCTGGGAAGCCGTCTTGGTTGAGATCCCCCAGGACAGCCACACTGATCCCAAACATGGAGTCAGGGGAGCCGCAGAGTCGGAGAGGGGTGACATCAGCCCAGTGACCCCCCTGGTTCATGTACACATACACAGCACCACCAAGCTCTTCTTGGCGCTCAAAGAAGTAGGGGGCACCCACTACCAGGTCTGGCGAGCTATGGCGAGATACCAAAACAGTCAGTATGGGTTCAGACTTGCCAGGGCAGTCAGAGAAGATGGCAAAGGCACCTGATACCTCCGGGGCCCAAACACCCCTCAGCCCCCCTCCCATCTGCCTTCTCTCACCCATCATTGTTGAGATCAGCTACAGCCAATGAATAGCCAAAGCCGGAAGTCAGGCGCTCCCCAGACAATACAACTTCAGGTACCAGGCGGCTGGCACTATCCTTGCGCAGAATGACCACAGCACCTTTGTGGTTGGCACGGGGTGCCCCTGCCACAAAGCTCAGCTCCTCTGAACGAACCAGCCCCTTCCCCGAGTCAATGGAGAAACCTGTATGGGGGGTTAGTACTTCCTAACAGACTCATGCCTGAGTGTGTTCCAGCAACCCCACCCCAGCCCACCACCTAGCAAACAGGAGCTAAAAGATGGAGGAGGTGTCCCCCAAGCTACCGCTGCCATAGCTGGACCACTCTTCCTGCCTCTCCTAAGACCAGGCAGCCCTCCCACACCTGCTTGGTCCAGAGAATGGAATTTGGCACAAGAAGTGCAACAAGTCTATCCAAGGAGTGGGAGGAGAGAGGAAGGCAATGCTGAGAAGTCAGGATAGCTAGGGAAATCAAGCACAGAGGCAAGAACTGAGACAGAGGTCTCACCACACCTCTCCCAGGGAGCTGAAGCAGAAGGAATGGTCCTCTCCCATCCCACACCTTAGAGTACCCCAGTTCCATCCAATGCTCCTTCTTTCTCCCATCTATCCCACCTTCACGTGGGGGAAAAGGGACATATGGGTAGAAGGGAAGAGACTGAGTCACTCAAACATCTCCCAAGCCTCATTCCCTCCTCCTCTGTAGAAGGGATATGTAGATGAGACTATGAGAACTTACCACCAAGGCTGGAATTATCTCCAGCATGTATCTACCATCCATTCCTCAGAGAAAGTCTCCCTGGAGGCCTACCCTCCTCTTTACCCAGTATAGTCTCAGCCCTGTCTCTCTCCCTCCACCTGGAGTTTCCGCATGCTCACAATCCCCAAGGCCATCACCCTGGAGCTCCTCTTCTCAGACCTGGCCCCTGGGAGTGTGTGTGGGGCGGGGAGGGGGAGAGAACATGTTCCCGGGGCCCAGGAGGACTTGGGTGGGAGCTTACAAACCTAAGTAGCTATTCAGGGCCAAGTCTCCGACTGGTCCTAGGAGCCGGTCAGCAGGGTCCAAAGTTTTATACACCAGCTGGTCAGGGTCTGAACTATCAATGTTGGTCACAAAGAGCAACCCTGTTGGGGGTAGGAGGAGGAGACAGCAGGGGAGGGACATCCAGAGAAGAGCCACAGAGTAGGGAGACAGACAGAAGAAAAGCCAGAGGAGAAGGTGAAAGAGGAAAAAGTGAAGGAAGAAAATGAGGCCAAGAGAGCAGAGAAATCAGAATCCGAGTCCCAGAGACAGACAGGGTGGAGAGACAGAGACAGAGACAGGAGGGGAGGCGCATGGAGAGGGGGAACAAGAGAGAGGAGCAGAGGGTTAGAGTGGTTCTGGGCCAGGAAGGGGTCCCTACCAAAGTAGCTGTTGGCAGGGACAGGGATGAGGCGGGGGTCCTGCTCCTTCTCGCCCCCCGCCTCGTAGGGCCCGTCGTCCAAGTGTGCCAGGTCCGCCGAGCCCTGTGCACAGAGCTCCACCCTGGCTGTGCCTGCAAGGACAGTCCTATTAGTGTCTAGGGCAGGGGTGAGGAACACCCTCAGGCTAAACAGAGTTAGACAAGCATTTGGGAAGCCCCTCATCTCCCCTCCAGTTCCACCTCCTGCCCCCTGCCCAGCCAAAGCTTCCTAGGGGTGCCCAGAGTTGGCATCACACTCACCGAGTATCAGCTCGGTCAGCAGTGTGGGCAGAGACGGGAATGGGAGTGATGAGGACCGGACTGCGTACTGGAGCATGCAGGCATAGCCAGGTGAGCAGCCCAGTCATGCAGGTCAGGGCTCATGCCAGTGTTGAGGACCATGGGACCATGCGAAGGAAGGTAGGCACCCCATTCACGCGTGGACTAGTGTGATGGAGGAGGAAGGCATGGCAGTGCCACAGGGTGCAACGGCAGTGGACATGTGGTCATGCGTGGCCACTCTAGTCCTGTCTCTGTGGCAAGAAAAGGTCTGGGTTCCCTCGTCTCCTTCCTGGGGAGTGACTCACCCTTCCAGTTATAAGTTCCTGGGGCCCCAAAGAGGAGGTAATGGCTGTCAGGGGAGAAGGCGGCCGCTGTGCCCTGCTGGCAGAACCCAAATTGTTCATGGCTCTGGGGACGCCCCTCACAGAACTTCCACTCCCCACCATCCAGCTCATCACGGATGGCCAGGTCCTGGCTGAGCACAAAGCAGCGACCAATCACATCACGTGTCTCCAGGATCTGGTCCACTCGCTGCCGCGCCTCGTATCGATGTGCACAGGTCTGAAGGAGAGAGGGATGGAAGGCCATTTCCCTGTGTGGCCCAGGGTCTTACTTAAGTCATACTGCCGTCATTGGACACAGACTGGCACCGGTATGCGTGTAGGTGCACATGCGCGCTCACATACACACACACCTTTAATGAAATTGCTAGAACACCACCACCAAGCCCCAGTGGGCAAGTATAAGCATAATCCAGTATCCCATCTGCACCCACTTCCTTGAGCCTCTCTAGGACAAGTCCTTGCTCCACCTTCTGCACGGCCACCCACAGGCACAACTAAGCCAGGATATAAAAGTCATGTCTTCCTGATCATGCCACTTGCTCCTGTCCTCCAACATGTCAAGTCTGGTCCTGTCTCTAGACCTTTCCAACTGTTGACCCCTCCCCGGTAATGAATTTCCTCCCCTCTTCATTTTCCTGGTATGGCATTACAGGACAAGCATTGGGATGCTAACCAAAAAGTTTGAGGTTAAAACCTACCAGCCACTCCTTGGAAACCCTATACAAGGTCACTATGAGTTGAAACCAACTTGACAGCACTTAACAACAACAACAACAACAACCACTCTCAAAGCAGTACCTATTCTTGTTCTTAAAGCCTGGCTCAGCTCTCCTGCAGGTGCCTTTTCTCTCCACTCTTCCTTTGGACTTTCACAGACTGATGACTAGAAAAGGACTCACTAACATTAGCTATATTCTGCCCCAGCATGGCTTGCATTGTTAATTGTGTGTTCATGCATGTTTGCAAAAAAATATAGAGAAGAACAGAAACAGATGAAGAAAGAAAGAGAATCTTTGTATGCCATAGGCTATTTGAGGCAAAGATCGGGAGTTTCCCAGTCTTTATACGTTGTTGCAAAGTGACTCATAGTGACCCTGTATAGGGTTTCCGAGGAGCAGCTGGTGGGTTTAAATCACCAATCTTTCAGTTCAATCAAACTTGCAGTCCATTGCTTATCCTTCAGCACCACACAAAAAGTTCATGTAAAAACTCCATTTTCTTTTTGTTGTTGTTGCTAACTATTGACTTTTTTAAACTCCATTATCTTTTAACTATGTTTTCCACAATCTTTATTCTGGTCATCCCTGGAACCCCACTTCACCCCTGCCAGCTGTATGTGGCAGTCGGGGTGGGGAAGGAGCACCCTGTCTCATCTTGAGTTCCTTGTGCTCAGCTCAGGACAGCCAGGGGCAGTTGCAATGGCATCCGGAGCTGAAGGTGTGAGAGGGTTGGGGGGGCGGAGGGGCTGAGTTGGAACGTGGCAGTGGCAGGCTGGAGGCCCTAGATGTCCTTGTGTCCTATGCACCACTGAATGTCTACCAAGAAGGACCAGGAAAGAAGCTAGATGCAGGCCTGTTTCCCCAATCAGAAACCCAGCAAAGACCCCATTCCTTGGCAGCTCTGCCACCTGGACACCCTTAGTCACTCCAGCTGGTATGGAAGTAAGGACAAGTTTCTCATGCACCCCCAACTTGTCCCAAAGTCCTGTGCCTCCTATTTATCCTTGAACTTTTTTAAGCACCTTTGTATATCCTTTATAGGATAAACACAGGCCTGCTAACCAAAAGACTGGCAATTCAAATCCAGCAGGCGCTCTGCAAGAGAAAGACGAGACTTTCTGCTCTGCTATAAACATTGCAGCCCTGGAAACTCCATACAGGGTCAGAAAGGATTCGATGGCAGTTAATTTTTATATATCCTCTATCAGTAACAAGCACAGTGGCTGATGCTTACAAGGTTCTCGATAGGAGTTTGATAATGGAAGGCTAGATGGATGGTAAGATTTTAGTTTTATTTATTTATAAGGTCAGGGGCCATGTCTTATACATTTTTATATCTTCCTGATTCCTAGAAATTACATCATGTACCCAGCCTGTGTTCTGGAAGCACATGACATACACATACATACCCAAATAGCCACACACACATATTCAAACACAAGCACCCTTGAATAGTCACAGGAAGCAGTACTCACAACAATCTTGCCGCCAGGGCCCTGGCTCCGAACACTGACTCCCAACCACTGGTTCTCCTTGCTCTCCTTTTGCACATCAGCTAGAAGTAGGACACTGGGGATTAGGGGAGGAAGAAGAGGCCAAGGCCTCTCCTTCCCTCCACAGGTGCTTCTCCACTTCACCCCCTGAAGCCCCGTACCTCCCTGGTCGATGTCCACTCTGTAGCAGTCAGTTTCCTCCAGGCTCAAGGGGCAGGCGAAGAGGCCTCCAGTGCGATTCGCCTGCTGCCCAGGCAGAGCCAGGGCCTGTGGAGCACCCACCAGCAGCCTGCACGATGCATTAGGGGCAAGAGTTAGAGGGCAGAGTGCTTTAACCTCCCCAGAGCTGCCCAGGTCCAACCCCTTAGTACTAAGCAGAGTGTTCAGGATTAAGGAGAAGGGACAAAAGTCAGTTTTCCCAAGTCCTGTTGTTGTTGTTAAGTGCCATCAAGTCGATTCCAACCCATAGGGACCCTGTATAGGGTTTCCAAGGAGCAGCTGGTGAGCTTGAACTGCCAACCTTGCAGTTCAAATGGCTTTGCAGTCTGGCGCATTAACCCACAGTCCTAGGCAAGGGCAAATTCACACACTTGGCCATGCAAATACCATGTTACATATGCACATACTATCTGGATGAGGGACCAATACCCACAGTAGATAGACACCCACACACAAACAGCCTGGCCAGGGCTGCTGATTTGGAAAGCATCTCCTGTTCCCAGCACCTGTTCCTGACTAGGCCTTCTCTACCCCCTCCCTGGCCCCATTCCCAAACCCTGTCCTCCTCCCTCACCCTGGTCCAATTGAAATCCTGCCAGAAATGCCAAGAATGCTGAGTGCAAAAGTAACATGGCCCAGACTGACACTGGGACTAGCTTCTGAGGCCTGGAAAGAAGCTAAATGCAGGCCTGTTTCCCCAATCAGAAACTCAGCAAAGACCCCATTTCTTGGCAGCTCTGCCACCTGGACACCCTCAGTCACTCCAGCTGGCATGAAAGTAAGGACAAGTTTCTCATTCTGCCTCTAGTCCTACCCCATGTGCCCCCCCTCCCCCACATCCTGAATCCCCTTACCCACTCCTCTTTCTACTCCTTACATCTACTATCTCCCCTTCCCCCACCGCCCATCCCTGCCCAGTCTTCTCCCTGACCGCCCCATCAGACTCTTTCCCAGCTACAACTTTCTTGGCAGGACAATTTTCCATGATCACAGCCAAGGTTTCTTCCCCCAGGGAGGACTGTGCTGGGAATGGAGGTGGCCTAGGTCCCCTGGGGCTGAATCCCCAGGCCAGGAGTGAGGAGGGGGTGAGGTGAGGTGATTGACACGCAAGTGGCTACCAACAGGAGAGACTCAAAAGTGGCAGCAGGTGAAAAATCGAAGTCTCTTTCCCACACGCTTTTCCTCCATCTCCCTTCCTGTGAAGAGGCGCAAAGCTGTAGTGGGCAATATTACAGACAGGCATCTGTGGGGCGCTGTGCCAGTCCTGGTGAGGCAGCAGAGGGAGGGCACCGAGCCATCCTCCCTTCCCGAAACTCCTCCTCATCTCTTAGCAGCTGTCATCCCATGTCAGAGCCAGTGTCAAGAGAAAGAAGGGGGTAGGAAGAGATAGGTCCAACACTGTTTCACAGTTCTTTATTGAGAACCTATATATGCTCTGGGTGTTGCAAATGGTGAATGGGGTAGGCTGATAACCAAAGGAACAGAGGTTCACATCCACCAGAGAAGCTGCGAAGAAAGGCGTAGCTATCTACTTCAGAAAAGAAAAAAAAAAAGCAGCGCTTGAAAACCCTATGAGGCACAGTCCTAATCTGACGCAATTGGGGGGGGGGGGGGGGGGGGGGAGGGCAGTAAAGTAAGCCAGGTCTTGTGTTAGACACTAGAGAGACAAAAAAATAATATTTATTCAGCACCTATTATGGGTCAGAGAGGGAATTTATGCAGAAATGCTAAGCAGAAGTTTGGGAATTCCAATTCACACCTGTCCAACTCTGATACAACTGCTGCTTCACTATACCCAATGACCAGCCACTTTCCAAAACACTGAGATCTGCCAGAAGGGAGGGAAAGGAGAAGACAAAGAGACCATCTGGGTTCACTGAGCAGAAAACCAAGCCAGGAAACATGGCCCTGTGCAAACTAATGCCAATCTTCAGACAAGTCATCAGTGCCCCATCCCTCCAAACACAAAGATGGTCATCTCCTGGAGGACTGGGTTGTCTTGCTCATCTTTGTACTTGTCTCATAGGAGGTGTTTACTGACCACTACTGTATACGGACTCACAGAGAGGCCCCCCCCCCCCCAGAGCCTCAGCTGATCAGTATACAGCTGAGCACCTAGAGGTGCAGTCATTAATGCTCATGTCTCCCCTGTAGGTCAAGAGCATGCAGAAGAAGAGGGGTTCCTATGGAGGAAAGATGCTGCCAAATGCATAAATATGCCCAGACAGCCTCAGAAACCCTGTACAGGGTCGCTATGAGTTGGTTCCAACTCCATGGTACATAACAACAACAACAACAACTCTTGGTAGGAAACATCCTGGCCCATCCCTCCTGGAACAAGAGTTCCCACACACAGCCTCTCCAACCCCTCCACCTCTGCTCCCGTCATACACTCCTTCCTGGCTTCATCCCATGAACCCAGCCTCTGGACAGGTCAGTAGGCACATTAGCAGCCACTGTAGAGAGGAAAGGAAAAAATGTTGGTAGCTGGAGCAGAGGGACCCCCAAGAGTCCAGTTAAGTGGAGGATGAGTAGTAGCCCAGTGTCATTGTACCTTTTAATTCTCCACACATTCCAGGGTGCTAGCCAAGTCCAACCCTTCTCTAACCTCTCTCAATATGGGTGGCCATCTAAGGAAAGTGGTTAGACTGGAAGGCTGGCTCCAGTTCGAGGATGCTCAAGCTAAACCTTCAGATCTAGGATTACTGTAAATTGCTAAAGCTGTTCTCTACCTCTGTGGTCCACAGAACAAGAATAATAGGACTGTTAGCATTTTCATGGCGTTCTGGTGTGGCACTATAGATGAAGCACTAGAGAGCTAACTAAAAGTTCATCAGTTCAAACCCACCAGCTGCTCCTCAGAAGCCCTGTATAGAGTTACTATGACTCAGAATCAATTCAACAGCACTAACAACATTTCCTAGCACTGACTATGAGCCCTGTGCTGTTCTAAATATTTTACATGTTTAGAACATGTATGTTTGTTAGCTGCCATTGAGTCAATTCAACTCATGTGACCCTATGTGTTATAGAACTATAGTCTTTACAGAAGTAGTTCACCGGCCTTTTTTCCATGAAACCACTGGGTGGATTCAAACTGCCAGATTGACCTTTGGATCAGCAGCAATTGCAAACTTCTGGCATTACCCAGACTCTTTTTTATATATATTTGGAGCTCATTTAATCCCTACAATAAGCCTATATGGTGGTAGTGGAGGTGTGCCACCAAGTTCGTTCCAACTCATAGCTACCCTGTATAGGGTTTCCAAGGCTGCAAATCTTTTAGGGAGCAAACAGTCTCATCTTTTTTCTTCAGAGAGGCTGCTAGATTTGAACAGCTGACCTTACAGTTAGCATAATCCATTATACTACCAGGGCTCCTTAACCCTATACGGTTGCTGCTGTTAAGTGCCATCAAGTCAATTCTGACTCGGAACAATCTTATATAGGGTTTCCTAGGAGTAGCTGGTGGGTTTGAACCACTAACCTTGTGGTTAGCAGTCCAGTGCTGATCCTACATCACCAGACAGCTCCCTAAGCCTATGTTGTTGTTAAGTGCTTTTGAGTCAGTTCCGACTTATAGAGACCCTGTATAGAGTTTCTGAGGAGCAGGTAGTGAGCTTGAACCGCTGACCTTGTGCTTCAAACCGACCTTGCAGTCCAGTGCATTAACACGAAGCTACCTTAACCCTATGTGGTCCTTGTTGTTAAGTACCATCAAGTTGGTTCTGAGTCGCAGCAAACCTGTATAAGGTTCCAAGAAGCGGCTGATGAGTTCAAACCATGGACCTTGTAATTCAAACCAACCTTATTTTATCCCACAAAGCCACACCAGGACTCCAACCCTATATGGTGGTGGGTGGGATGCTGTGGAGTCAGCTCCGACTCATAGAGACCCTACGGAGGTTTCCAAGGCTGCAAATCTTTATGGGAGCAGAAAGCTTCATCTTCCTCCCACGGAATGGCTAGTAGTTCCGAACTGCTGACCTTGACCTTGATTGAGATTAGCAGTGCCAGACTCGTAACCACTACGCTACCAGAGCTTTTTATTGATCTCCAGTTTATAGTTGAAGGAAATAAATGAGGCCAAAATTGTGGCACAAAGTATGAAGGTTTCAGTCTGGTCCTCCAGGGACCAGACTGAAAGACATCAAAACAAATGAGAAAGCCTTTCTCAATCAATGAGTGCTAGGGAAGACAATCTGCAATTCAAAAGTAGGACTTGAACAAGGAACCTAGCCTCTCTCAAGCCACCAGGCAGCAGAGGACCCCCTGTTGGAGCTAAAGCAGAGTCAGGCAGTTAGGCTCCTAGGAATACCCCCAGCTTGGCTCTGAAAAACAAAATAAGGGGCCACTTTCAAAGAGGAGGGGGAAAGGACAAGAGACCACACTATTAAAAATAACCTAGAATTTGCCTGGAAATAGCTCAGAGTTCGGCATGTCCTAAAAAGGCCTCTGATCCTGGAACTCTGGCAGATGGCAGAGGGAGGGAAGAAAGGAGGGTAACTGCGATGAGGGAAGAAGCAAATGGAAGGAAGAAGAGAAGAAATCAGTTGCTTTCTATCCCCCACAACATTTTGGGATCACTGACCATGCTCCCAGATGATGGGAATAATTGAAGAAGGACGATCAAAGTTCTCCCCCCTCCCTAAGCCCAGAAAGGAGCAATGAGTTCTAGTCCCTGCCCTCTGCCCCCAGGCCAATAGTAGGGGGAGAAGACAGTCCCAGTGGACAGCATTGATCCTAGTAATGGACACTTAATGTGGTTTAGACACAGGCTAAGAGAAAAAAAAAGCCCTGTGGCTGGCAAGGAAGGGAAGCTTTCTTCCCCTTCTCACCTCTCTTTCTTAACTTCTACATGTAGCTAAAACCAAGCGTACAAAAGCCATGTCCAGTGACAGGCCCGTCACAGAAGTGGTGTCCATCTCGCTTGGGTCCTGAATTGATGAGAAAAGAACTAGAATTGTCCTTTGCCCCTCCCTGTCTTCCTCCACTGCTGAGATTCCTGAGCTGGAAATTTTCTGAGGAGGAGGAAAGTGAACAGCCTGGCCAGCATCCTTCCTGGACATCTCTCCTTGCTGCTGCTGCTGCTGGTGGTGGTTGCATTACTTTAGGGAGTTCTGTTTCCTGTCACTTTCAATCTCCAAACCTCCTAGGGCAGGTTGCCAGATCCTCCCAGGTCCACTCCTAACCTTCCAGTGGTCTTGGCCTTGAGTCATAAAAGTAGCAGATCTCTCCAGGTTTCCCAGTGCCTCCTGCCCTCATCCCATCCCATGACAATGCTTCGGCAGGAAGCAATTTCAGAAGTCTATCCACCCTTCCCCTGTCCTCCTGCCTAAGTACAGACACAATGGTCCATCTCCCCAGAAACCCTGGCACTGTAACAAGGATGCAAGTTGGGAGGAAAGTTAGGAGGAGATGGTTTCCTGTCAAGAGTTTTGCTCTCCAATATGTCCCCAAAGCAAGACCCTGGAACTTGGATACTCATCCAGAGGATACCCACCCAAACCCAAGACGGATGAGGCCAGGCTCCAGGTTGGGCTTGGAAGACTGAAAAAACGAGGTGGCCCAGGGTTGAAGAGGGAAATCTGTGGCTCTTGCATGGGGACTCCCGGGGTGGATGCTATGACTCACCAACTCTGGGGTCGGGGCTGCAGCTGCCGGTGAAGAGCCACAGAAAAGCCGAAGAGGCTGCCCGGCTCACCCTCCTTGCGCAAAGCATCCATCACGTCCAGATTGAAGGCAATAGCCCCTGGGCAGAGCAGTCCAGAAAGCAGGGAGCCAAGAAGGTAGCATAGCCCAGAGGTCCCCCAGGGATCGCGCCCTCGAGTGCTGGCCATGGGGCAAAGCCCGCGCGAGTGCCCCAGGAGCGCAGGCCAATTCCTGAGCCGCCTGAGCCTTGAGTTACACAAGCCTCCGTCTCTGGTCTCGAATTCTCGCTGCTCTTTCAGAAGCGTCCCAGTCTTTCACCTGACCACTGCTCACCCGCCGCTCCGCCGACCAGTTCCAGCCACCACCGCTCCAGCACTCTCAGCGGATCCACTCGGTCCCGAGGTGCCGCCCGAGTCCCGCCCCAATCCCGCCCAAAAGCGTCCCCTAGTGCTATTCAGGTTGGCGGTCGTGGGTGGGAACTGCACTTATTCTCCCCAGCCGCACCCGGTACTGGCCCCGCCCCGGCACGCACTTCCCACCCCTCTCTTCCCGTTGCCTTTGCAGGAGAGCGGAGGCGGCACCCAGGAATGGGGCGGGAAGAGAGGGCAGATCAAAAGGAGCTGGAAAAGAGGGTGAGAAATTGGATGGAGAGTAACGGACAACCTGGGAAAAAAAGAGAGAAAACGGGATCCGTTCTGAGCGTGGGTACTCCCTCCTCCCCGTGGTCACTTAGAGCATCTCTTTTCATGTTCAAATCACACCTCTTTCCACACCAACCCATTGAGCACTCCTGAGCATTCAGAGAAACTGGGGAAAAGACGGAGGCAAAGAGAATAAGAAAATTCAAGAGGGAAAGGAGCAAAGGAGGCAGGTTGAGACCAAAAAAAAAAAAAAAAATGGGAAGAGAAAAATGGCTGAAGAAGACCAAAGGTTTGATCAACAAGAGATGGAGTGAAGGAAGAAAACAAGAAAAAGATTGAGGGCATACTGGAAGAGGAAATTAAGCCAGGTGTTGATGAAGGGCAAAGATAAGAGACTGGATCTAAGGGGTTGTTGTTAAACGCTGTAGAGGCGGTTCTGACTCATAAAAATCTATTGTTGTTGTTAATGCCGTAGAGTCGGTTCTGACCCATAGCGACCCTGTATAGGGTTTCCGAGGAGCGACTGGTGAGCTTGAACCACTAACCTTGCAATTCAAACGGCTTTGCAGTATGGCGCATTAACCCACAGCGTCACACCAGGACTCCATGAAAGACTATAGCGACCCTGTATATAGGGTTTCCAAGGAGCAGCTGGGGGTGTGATATGAGGACAATTCCTAGTGTGGCAGGAAGGAAAGAGTGTTTCCAGAATGAATCCAGTCTGAGGGAGGAAAGAGTGTTTCCAGCTCCCAGGCTCTTCTCACTGTTGCCAGTTGTTGCAGAATCCTGGTGTACAAGTATTCTATAGGGTTTTCAAAGACTATGACCTTTCAGAAACATATCACCAACACTGTCTTCCCAGGAACCTCTGGGTGTGTATGAATTGCCAACTCTTCAGCTAGTAGTCTACTTGTTCTCACCACATAGAGACAATGAAGACCCTCCCTAACCATCAAAGGGCGAGGGAATTTGCAGAACCTAGAGTCCTGGGCTGGCTCAGACTCTATCTGGGTGGGACTGCAAAGGGATCTCCCCCAGAGAACTCATGAGCTTGTCCTTTCTCCTCTCTTTTCCCCTAATGCTGGAACAGAAGCAAGGAAGGGGACATTTTCCAACTCTCTGCTATTTATAACTCCAATCCAGAAATGAGGCCAAGAGGAAAGATAGGAAATAATGTGGCATAATTAGAACCGCTCTTGCTCCCACCTCCCCTTTCAAGTTCTTTTTCTTGCTGGGTGTCTGTCTTGTGTATATCCATTTGTTCATCTTTCCATTCTCTCTCTCTGCTTTTGTCACATCCCAAACAATTTTTGCCCCAATTCTTGTCTCTGTCACACTTGGAATTTATCTCAGATTATTTCTCAATATTTCTAATACTGCCTCTGCCCCTCAACTGTCATAATGTTTATGAGTCTCTTTTTTCTTAGAAGCTTCTATTGCTATCGTATTTTAACTCCTTTTTCAATGATCCCTTGTCCCCTTACTTCTTACCAGGATTATACCTTTTCTAAGAGTCCTGGTGTGACACTGTAGGATACACACTGGACTGCAAAGACGGTGGTTCAAACTCACCAGTCACTCCTCAAAAACCTTATACAGGGTTGCTATGAGTCAGAATCAACTTGATGACACTTAACGACAATGTCTTTTTACAAAGCATATGGACTCCCATTGTGCTGACTCTGGGACAATCCTTGCCTTGGATAAATTAACACACGATTGATGGTTAGGGTCTCTATGCAATACTCCATCTGTGGACATCAACTCCAGGGGACTAGGGCACTTCTAGACAGGTGTTATCAAGGAAGTGTATATACTGCCAGCAGGGAAGGCACCTGGACTCTGCTTTTATTATTCCCAAGATATAGCCTCTTTATCCCTTCCCTGTCCCAGAGCCCCAGACAGTAGAGGAGTACGATGAGAATGCAGAGTAGTAAAATCCGGATAGAATGCCTGACTCCCAGTTCAGAACTCCAAAGATGGTCACAATGCCTTTAGGGCCCCAGCTGTCCTCCTCTCTGTACCTGAAGTTTCTGCCTGCCTCCATCTCTATGACACTTTTGTTATTGTTGTTAGGTGCCATTGAGATGGTTCCAACTCATAGTGACACTGTACAGGGTTTCCAAGAAGAGGCTAGTGAGCTTGAACCACCAACCTTATGGTTCAAACCAACTTTACAATCCAGTGAATTAACACATAGCACCACACCAGGACTCCTCCATGACACTGGCTCCTGCTAAATCTGAGGCTGAGATCAGATGCCAAAAATCTGCTTCTGACCTTCTATGCCCAAATATTTGAGAAGTCACTTCACCGGTCACAGGAGGAAGAACAGGGAAAAAGAGAGAGGCCACCCAGAATTAGCTTTGCTATAAATAGTGGGGGAAGGGAGGACAGAAAATACACAAGAACACTAGGCCAGACTAATAAATTTAGACATGTAGATTTTCTCTAAAGGAGAAGCAAGACCGGATTCCTGGAGTGGAGAGCTATACTGTAGGAGAAGATCAGAATGAAGACTACAAAAGGAACAAGAGAATGGAGGAAACTCAATACTAAAATAAATAATGGGCCAAAGAACTTCTTGTAGTGGAGTCAAGAGCTTAGAGGTTTGTGATATCAAAAATCGTTGCTGTGCTTCCGTAAAAAGCTAGAAATAAAAATATCATATGATCCAGCAATCCCTCTTCTAGGTGGGATTAGAGATGTAAGGGCAGTGACACAAATAAATATACAAATGTCCATGTTCATTGCAGCATTATTTACAATAGCAAAAAGATAGAAACAACTTACATGTCCATCAATAGATAAATGTATAAACAAAATATAGTACCTACATACAAGAAATACCACATAGAATCATTGTTATCAGGACTGATTGTGAGGGTTGGAAATGTAAAGGTGGACATTTTATAGCAAGGAGGGGAGTGATTAACTTTTCAGTCTAGGAGCGGAGGGCCCTAGGACCATCAATGGAGAAGAGCAGAAAGTGGGACCCTACCCAGAGAAGCAGTGAGGCCTGAGATAGAGGCAGAGACGCTGACATGGAGAGATGGAGTAGCTGGGGACTTGAGATCCAGAGAGGGAAAGGGGCTTTGTGCTGATGACTGGGGGTGGGTGGGGAACAGGCTTGCAGGGTATACCCTTTGGTTGGTTGATGATGCATGGATGGGATTGTAACTATGACAATAAAATGATATATGATAGAATGAATATAAAACTAATGTTCTCCCATGTAAACTATCACATAATTCACAATAAAGCATTTATTTTAAAAAAAGCAATACCACATAATGATAAAGAATAATGATGAATCATGTAACATGGATGAATTTGAGGGACATTATGTTTTAAAATTGGGAAAGGTGTGAGACAGGGTTGTATTCTTTCACCATACTTATTCAACCTGTATGCTGAGCAAATAATACGAGAAGCTGGGTTCTATGAAGAAAAACGTGGCGTCAGGATTGGAGGAAGACTCATTAACAACCTGAGATATGCAGATGATACAACCTTGATCGCTGAAAGTGAAGAGGACTTGAAACATTTACTTATGAAGATCAAAGAGCACAGCCTTCGATATGGATTACATCTCAATGTCAAGAAAACAAAAATCCTCACCACTGGACCAATAAACAACATTCTTATCAATGGAGAAAAGATTGAAGTTGTCAAGGACTTCATTCTTCTTGGATCAACTATCAACACTCGCAGAAGCAATAGTCAAGAGATCAGACGACGTATTGCATTGGGCAAATCTGCTGCACAGGAACTTTTTAAAGTATTGAAGAGCAGAGATGTCAGCTTGAGGACTAGGGTACGCCTGACCCAGGCCATGGTGTTTTCAATAGCCTCATATGGATGCGAAAGCTGGACAGTGAATAAGGAAGATCGTAGAAGAATTGATGCCTTTGAGTTGTGGTGTTGGAGGAGAATACTGAAAGTGCCATGGACTGCCAAAAGAACCAATAGATCTGTTTTGGAAGAAGTGCAGCCAGAGTGCTCCTTGGAGGCCAGGATGGCTAGGCCTTGTCTCTCATACTTTGGACATATTGTCCGGAGGAAACAGTCGCTGGAGAAGGATGTCATTCTGGGTAAGGTGGAGGGTCAGAGAAAAAGAGGGAGACCCCTAACGTGATGGATTGGCCAGGTGGCATCATTGATGGACTCAAATGTGGCAGCGGTAGTGAGGTTGGCCCAGGATCGGACATTGTTTTGTTAGGCTGCTGTGCATGGGTCACTATGAGTCGGTTCCGACTCGATGGCACCTGACAACAACAACAACAATGTAAAATGACATGAGTCGGTCACAAAATGACATTATACCACTTTTATAAAATGTCAAGAATAGGTTTACATACAGAAAGCAACATTATTTTATGGTTACCAAAAATGAGAGGGGAGGAAAGGGAGAATCCCTTACTGGATAGTTGCTGAGTCAGTCCTGACTCATAGTGACCCTAGGCACAACAGAAGGAAACAGTGCCCAGTCCCGTGCCATTCTCACAATTGCTGTTATGCATGAGCCCACTGTTACTGCCACTGTGCCAATCCATCTCATTGGGGGTCTTTTTCTTCACTGACCCTCGACTTTACCAAGCATGATGTCTTTCTCCAGGGACTATCTGAAGTATGAGAGATGAAATCTGGCAATCCTGCCTTCTAAGGAACTTTCTGGCTGTGTTTTTTCCAACACAGATTTGTTTATT